AATGCTTTTATGTGGAGGAGCTGTGGAGACCTGGCTCTTCACCCAGACCTTTGGTGAAAGAGAGTGAGATCCCTTCTGATTGGTCAATGCATATTGCCATTTAAAAAAATATTTTACTCTATTTTATTATAATCTCTTCGTTTGTTGTGAGCTACCAAAGTCATGGGAAATTAGGTAGCATGCACATTTAAAAATGTGTCACAAATACCATTGGTGCTAATAGTAGATACGAGGTGCTGCCAGCATCCTAGGGATCAACCAACCATCTTCTTAAAATATGTGATGTTCCAATTAGTGGACTTTTTTGCAGTTCCACTCGTGTTATTGCAGGAAGCTGCAATTCATTGATGTGTTTTGTAAAATTCTTGGACATGGTTCCAAGTGCCCCGATGACAATGGGTATCTCTCTTACATGCTTCATCCATAGCCGTGTAGTTTCGATGGCCAGGTCACGATATTTCGTGATTTTTTTCTAGTTCTTTTTCTTTGACTCTGGCATCTCCAGGCACTGCCACATCCACTATCCAGACTTTTTTTGTCTTTCTTATCGACAACTGTTAAGCCTGGGGTGTTATGTGGCAGGTGCCTGTCTGTCTGGATTCTGAAGTCCAAGAGCAATTTAACTCCTTCATTTTCCATGGCTTTCTCTATTCTCCGTAGGGAATGGGGAAGCCTCCACAACCAATCTGCCCTTAGATTGGGTAGATTTTGAAGCCACGCCACTCTGCTTCCTCTGCCTGACTCCTCTTTCAACTCAGTCTTACCCGGTGAGAAGACCTTTTTTAGTTAGCTCCTGAATTGGAACTGAGAATATTTTTTCCTGGATACTTTCCTCTCCCCCCATCCTCTCCTCTCCTGGTCTCTGTCTCTTTAAGTGGAGGGAGTCTCCATTTCGATGGGTGGAGCCGAGCGCACTGGCAGGTGCTTGGATCGGCTCATGGAGGCCACGTGCAGCCTGTATGGAGTTGCTGGACTCAGCACCCGGGTTTGAGGCCACCAGGATGCCAGGCTTCGCTCTGTGGTGAGGCTTGAGTCCCCGTGTGATGGGGGAAGGCCTCAGGAGGAGGGCAGGGTGATCGGAACTATCGTGGCCTCGTGGAGACAGTCGACTACATGCATATACAATGCCACGTGGGCCTCGTTTGTGTCCTGGTGTGGTCGGGCGCATGTGTGTCCCACCGAGGCCTCGATCCCTCAGGTTTTAGAGTTCCTGCAGGATGGGTTGGAGAAAGGCCTTTCTCACAACACCATTCATAGGCAGGTGGCGGCACTATCCACTGTGCTTGTGGGGGAATCACTTGCCCGACACTTGGTGATCAAGCGGTCCTTAGAGGGACTGTTAATCTCTGGCCACCGGTTGTCCACAGGTTTCCCACATGCGACCCACCACTGATGCTCCAGGTGTTAACGGAGGGTCCCTTCGAACCTCTGAGAACGGTCAGCACTCAGTATCTCACCCTCAAGGTGGTATTCCTGATGGCGGTCACCTCCGCCAGGCATATATCCAAATTAAGTGCCTTATCATCTAGGGAGTATGTTTGCGTGCTCCACACAGACCGTGAGGTGCTCAGATTGGACCCTTCCTTCCTACCAAAGGTTAACATGCCCTTTCACAGGGCCCAGGAGGTGGTCCTGCTGGATTTCTGCCTGGCCTCATCCAGGGACAGGGAGTGGGCATGGCATTGACTAGACGTCCAAAGGGTGCTGCTCATTTACCTTCGGCGGACCATGTCTTTCCGACGCATGGAGGCACTGTTTGTATCCTTCCAGCCTTCCTCCTTAGGGTCCAGGGTTACGCCTTCCACCACCGGGAGCTGGATTAGGGCAGCTATCTCCACTCCTTATTAGGCAAGGGGCGTGCAGATGCCAGCTGGCATCACCGCTCACTCCACGAGGAGTGTGGCACCTTCGTTGGCTTGGTCCATGCAGGCTCTGTTCGAAGACATCTGTCGAGCTGCTGCCTGGGCATCGCCCACGCCATTCATCAAGTCTTGATGCCTATGCTTTCTCTGAAGCTTCATTTGGTCACAGGATTTTGCTTCCTTAGCTATCAAATCATAACATCCATCCCATTACAATTCTATGGCTCCATATTATGGTGATTTTATTATGGTTTTACCTTTATTTTATCTCCTATGTTGTATTTTCAATATGTGTCTNCAGAAAATTTCTTAGAAGACCAGAAATCTCTAGCCAACGTGCAGAGAACTTCTAGGCTTAACAGCTCCAGTGCAAGTTGTGAGGAACCCCACACGTGTATTCCAAGAGAGGACTTTGGACCCACAGCCAACAACAAAGGCATGACTTTGCATGGAATTCAGCTACTGAGCCACAGAACATCCCCCCCCCCCACACACGGACATTTGATGAAGCAAATTGGGTAACCTCTCTCTTTTGCAAACCTAGTTGCCTCCACTGTTCAACTATACTGTGATGAACTGAATCTGTGCCATACATTTAAGCAAAATGACAAGATGTTCAGAGTACCAGTCAGTCAAACCCCCAAATTCTTCATTCCATTTCCTGTCCTCTGATTTTTTTTCTCTCCTTCACTTTCCATACTCGATCATTACTGGTTCTTTTGAGTTCCTCCTTATTACCAGTAGCATAATTCTGGCTCTTCCTTTGTACCGTACATAAATTTTTCTGTTTCTGCTATGTAAAAATCAGTACTCAAACGTTGTTGCCTTATTCCATTTGATGGTTTAACCTTTATTTTTGTAGGTGTCTGATGGGATTGTGGCTCCAGGCTTTGATGAAGAAGCCCTCAAAATTCTATCCAAAAAGAAAAATGGCAGCTACTGTGTACTCCAGGTCAGTGTTTTATTCTTGAGGATAATTAATTTAAATACCTGTCTTATTTCCATTGTGCCCCTCAGTCTAAAATCTGATTTTTTGATTTGCCATTTCCAAATGTGTTCATACAAATGAAGCTAAAAAATATGAACTCTCATTCTTAAACCTCTTTAAACTGCTTGCAAGGGTGTTTTTTTTACTAGAGCATCAAATCTTTTTCTACAGTTAATGTAGTACATTTGAATGTCTGATCAGTCCTGGTTGATCATCTCATGGCTGCATCTTCCATCCTCCAGTACATAAGCTCCCTGAAACTCCACCTCTCTAGCCTCCCCCCCCCCCCCCACATAGTTTCAGGCCTTTGGGCAAACCTGAATCTCTCCTCTGCCCTCAAGCTGGCATTTTTCCCTTTTAGTTTCCCTTTTTGGGGGGGGGGGGTTTAAAGGGAAAAATAGGTGCTTTAGGCTTCTGTATAAACAAAAAATTGGGGCTGGAAATTTCAGCCTCATCCATTCTGAGGACCAAGTGGAGCCGGGGGGAAAAAAAAAAAGGTTGCCTACCACTCTTGCAGATCAACATGAAATGTATCAGTGCTGCTCTCTGGAATAAGGCGCATGGCTAAGACCCAGATGAACCCCAGATGAATGCTTTTATGTGGAGGAGCTGTGGAGACCTGGCTCTTCACCCAGACCTTTGGTGAAAGAGAGTGAGATCCCTTCTGATTGGTCAATGCATATTGCCATTTAAAAAAATATTTTACTCTATTTTATTATAATCTCTTCGTTTGTTGT